TTGTTAAAGAAACTTTCTTCCTTCCATTGTATAATTTTAGCTCCTTTGTCGAAAATCAGGTGTTCATAGGTTTATGGATTAATATCTGGGTCTTCGATTCCATTGGTCAAGTTTCTGTTTTTATGCCAATACCAAGCTGTTTTCATTACTGTAGCTCTGTAATATAGTTTGAAGTCAGGGATGGTAATGCCTCCAGAAGTACTTTTATTGTATAGGATTGTTTTGGCTATCCTGTTTTTTTTCCATATAAAGTTGATTATTGTTCTTTCAAGGTCTCTGATGAACTTTGTTGGGATTTTGATGGGGATTGCATTGAATCTATAGATTGCTTTTGGTAGAATTGCCATTTTTACTATGTTGATCCTCCCTATCCAAGAACATGGGAGATCCTTCCATTTTCTGGTATCCTCTTCAATTTCTTTCTTCAAAGACTTAAAGTTTTTGTAAAATAGATCTTTCACTTCCTTGGTTAGAGTTACCCCAAGATACTTTATGCTATTTGTGGCTATCATGAAAGGTGATGCTTCTCTGATATCCCTCTCTGCTTCTTTGTTCTTTGTGTATAGGAGGACAACTGATTATTTTCGAGTTGATCTTGTATCCTGCCACAGTACTAAAGGTGTTTTTCACCATGTACAAAACTCAAGTCCAATGGATTAAAGACCTCAATATAAATCTGACCATACTGAACCTGACAAGAAAGTGGGAAGTAGTCTGCATCACATGGGTATAGAAGACCACTTCCTGAGTAGAACCCCTGTAGCACAGACCATAAGAACAACAATGAACAAATGGGACCTCCTAAAACTGAGAAGCTTTTATAATGCAAAGGACATTGTCAATAAGACAAAAAGGCAACCTACTGAATGGGAGAAGATCTTTACCAACCCCATATCAGACAAAGGTCTGATCTCCAAAATATATAAAGAACTCAAGAAACTAGACACTAAAACTCTAATTAACCCAATTTAAAATTGGGGTACTGAACTGAGCATAGAATTCTCAACAGAATTAGTTCAAATGCCCAAGAGTCTCTTAAAGTCATTCTCAACCTCCTTAGCAGTCAGAGAAATCCAAATCCAAACAACTTTGAGATACCATCTTACACCTGTCAGAATAGCTAAAATCAAAATACCAATGATAGCCTTTGCTGGAGAGGATGTGGAGTAACTCATTTACTGTTGGTTGGAATGTAAACTTGTGCAACCACTTTGGTAATCAGTGTGGCATTTTTTTGTTTTTTTTTTTGGTTTTTTTTTTTTTTTTTTTTGGTTTTTCGAGACAGGGTTTCTCTGTGGCTTTTTTTGGAGCCTGTCCTGGAACTAGCTCTGTAGACCAGGCTGGTCTCGAACTCACAGAGATCCGCCTGCCTCTGCCTCCCGAGTGCTGGGATTAAAGGCGTGCACCACCACTGCCCGGCCAGTGTGTCATTTTCTGAGGAAACTGGGAGATAACCTACCTCAGGATCAAGCATGGGAATATACCCAAGAAATGCCCAATCATACTACAAAAGCACTTGTTCAACTATGTTCATAGCAGCACTATTTGTAATAGCCAGAACCTGGAAACAACCTAGGTGCCTCTCAATAGAAGAATGGATAAAGAAGATACACACTTTAGAGTTCTACTCAGCGTTAAAAAAAATGATATCTTGAATTCTGCATGCAAATGGACGGAAATAGAAAACTCTTTACTGAGTGAGATAACTCAGACCCAAAATGAGGAATATGGTATGTACTCATTCATAAGTGGATTCTAGCCATTAACAAAGGACATTGAGCCTATAATTCGTGGTCCTAGAGAAGCTAAATAAGAAGGTGAACCCAAAGAAAAACATAGTTATCCTCCTGGACATTGGAAGTAAACAAGATAGCCTGGCAAAGTTGGGAGCATGGGGATATGGATGTATTGGGGGAAGGGGAGATGGGGAGAGAGAAGTGAGAAGGGAAGGTTTAGGGAGAGCTTGGGAGAATGGGATGGTTGAGATGGAGTAAGGGTCGATATGGGAGCAGGAAAGCAGATATCTTAACTAAGGGAGCCATTTTAGGGTTGGAAAGAGACTTGGCTCTAGAGGGGTTCCCAGGTGTCTAAGAATATGTCCCCAGCTAGGTCCTTGGGCAGCAGAGGAGAGGGTACCTGAACTGGCTTTCTCCCATAGCCACAGTGATGAATATCTTGCATATCATCATAGAACCTTCATCTGGTGATGGATGGAGATACAGACAGAGACCCACATTGGAGCACTGGACTGATCTCCCAAGGCCCAGATGAAGAACAGAAGAAGGGAGAACATGAGAGTGGAAATCAGGTCTGCGAGGGGTGCGTCCACCCACTGAGACAGTGTGACTGATCTAATGGGAGTTCACCAAGGCCAACTGGACTGGGACTGATGGAGCATGTAATCCAACCAGACTCTCTGAATGTGGCTGACAATGAGGGAGGACTGAGAAGCCAATGATAATTACACCAGGTTTTGATTCTACTGCATGTACTGACTTTTTGGGATCCTAGTCTGTTTGATACACACCTTCCTAGACCTGGATGGAGCTGGGGAGGTCCTTGGACTTTCCACAGGGCAGGGCACCGTGACTTCTCTTAGGACTGCAGAGGAAGGGGGGCAGGGGAGTAGGGGGATTGGGAGGGAAATGGGGGATTGGGAGGAGGAGGAAATTTTTAATAAATAAATAAATAAATAAAGCAGATATAAAGAGTTCAGAGTGATACATGATCCATAAATAAGAGGCAGAGAGCAGAAATATGGTTTAGAAACAAAGCTATTATATATATTCTTTAATTTATTAGTCTTATATTTTTAAATATAATTACAATTGTGTAGGGTGTGTAGAAAGGAAACTAGGAGAGGGAAGGAAACTTGTGGAAAAGGGAACATAGAACAGAAAAAGTGGATAAAGAAAGTATCTTAAAGTTATTACTGCTGTGATGAAAAATCATGACCAAAAGCACCGTAAAGATGGGACATTTTTTTTTTTTTAGACTTACAGGTAACCATCCATCTGTGAGGGAAGTTAGGGCAGACACTCTAACAGGAAAAGATCCCAGAGACATTTTGTCTTGGTGACAGTGTCCTTTGCTTTAGAGAAGCTTCTCAGTTTTAGTAGGTCCCATTTATTCAATGTTGCCCTTAATGTCTGTGCTGTTGGGGTTACACATAGGAAGCGATCTCCTGTGCCCATCTGTTGTAGGGTACTTCCCACTTTCTCTTCTATTAGGTTCAATGTGTTCTGACTGATAGTGAGGTCTTTAATCCATTTGGACTTGAGTTTTGTGCATGGTGATAGATATGGGTCTATTTTCATTCTTCTACAGGTTGACATCCAGTTGTGCCAGAACCATTGGTTGAAGATGCTTTCTTTCTTCCATTGTATACTTTTGGCTCCTTTATCAAAAATGAGGTGTTCATAGGTTTGTGGGTTAAAATTCGGGTCTTCTATACGATTCCATTGGTCGACTTCTCTGTTTTTACGCCAGTACCACACTGTTTTCATCACTGTAGCTCTGTGATAGAGTTTGAAGTCAGGAATGCTAATGCCTCCAGAAGATCCTTTATTGTATAGGATTGTTTTGGCTATCCTGGGTTTTTTGTTTTTCCATATAAAGTTGATTATTGTCCTCTCCAGATCTGTGAAGAATTTTGATGGGACCTTGATGGGGATTGCATTGAATCTATAAATTGCCTTTGGTAGAATTGCCATTTTTACTATGTTGATCCTCCCAATCCAAGAGCAAGGGAGGTCCTTCCATTTTCTGGTATACTCCTCAATTTCTTTCTTCAATGCCTTAAAGTTCTTGTCAAATAGATCTTTCACTTCCTTGGTTAGAGTTACCCCAAGATATTTTATGTTGTTTGTGGCTATCGTGAAAGGTGAAGCTTATCTGATTTCCCTCTCTGCTTCCATATCCTTGTGTATAAGAGGGCGACTGATTTTTTGGAGTTGATTTTGTATCCTGCCACATTACTAAAGGTGTTTATCAGCTTTAGGAGTTCTTTGGTGGAGTTTTTGGGGTCGCTTATGTACACTATCATATCATCTGCAAATAACGAAAGTTTCACTTCTTCCTTTCCAATTCGAACCCTCTTGATCCCCTTATGTTGTCTTATTGCTATTGCTAGAACTTCAAGCACTATATTGAAGAGGTATGGCGAGAGTGGACAGCCTTGTTGTGTTCCTGATTTTAGTGGGATGGCTTTGAGTTTCTCTTCATTTAATTTGATGTTAGCTGTCGGCTTGCTGTATATAGCTTTTCTACAGGGCAGGGAACCCTGACTGCTCTTTGGACTGGAGAGGGAGGGGGAGAGGAGTAGGGGAGGGGGAGAAGGGTGGAAAAAGGGGGAGAAGGGTGGGAGGAGGGGGGGAAATAGGAGGCTGGGAGGAGGTGGAAACTTGTTTTTTTTTTTCCTTTTTTCAATAAAAAAATAAATAAATAAAAAAAATAAAGAAACTGCCTTGGCTTTTGATAGGACAGCAGCTTAGATAGGCAGAGTAGACAGAACACAATGTTGTGAGAAAGAAGTCAGTGATGCAGCCACCATGGAGCCAGCTGCCAGGTCAGACATGCTGAATCTTTCCCCGTTAAGCCACCACCTCGTTTTGCTACACAGATTATTAGAAATGGGTTAATCAAGATGTGAGAATTAGCCAATAAGAGGCTGAAACTAATGGGTCAGGCAGTGTTTAAAAGAAAAAAAAAACATCCCAGAGACATTGGAAGAGAATTGCTTACTGGCTCCTTTCTCATAGCTTGCTCAGTCTGCATTATTGTAGAACTCAGGAATACATATAAAGAGCAATCTTTACCCACAGTGGAATGTTGGGCCCCCTCGATCACTAATTAAAAAACTGTCCGGGCTTTGCGTGCCCAAGCTCCGAGATTTCCCTGCTCTAGGCAGAGCCCAGGTGCCCAGAGCGCCAGACTTCAGCCGCCTGTCGCACCTATCCGCGCTGCACTCCACGCCTCTCTAACTCCGTATCACCACCAACATGCGGGGAGTGCGGCCCCTCAGCCCAGGCGCCAACGCGGAACCCTGCTCGACACCGCAGCCACAAGAACCCAGCCCTGACCAGCGACGTGACCTCGAAGAGCCCCCGGCGACACCCGGCCTGGAAGAGCCCGCAGGGTCCGCCAGCGATGTGCCCACTTCCGTGGTGTACCTGGCCACCGGCTCTGCCGTGCAACTGCAGGTGGATGACGTCGACCTACTGCTGGAGTCGAATCTCACCTCGGTCTTGGAAGTGGAGCTCCCTGAACACACCATCATCCTGGTGCCCGAGGACCTCCAGGCTCCAGACCATCTTGGACAGCCTGGGTCCTTGTCCGCCAGCCCGCAGTGGGGCGCTGGCCTGGAAATGCCAGAGGATGACCTGCTAGTCCTCCAGCCGGGATCCTCCTGTCAGTTCATTCTAGAAAGTTCCTACCAAGAGGAATTTTTTGATGAGGATGAAGACTCTGGCCCCCTGTCACCCTGGATGGATCCTCCAGCTGGTCAGGCGCTGAGTAGCCCAGGCTTGTCCGGAAGCTAAAGCTTTCCAAGTCTCAGGATTACAGGCTCTCCCTGGGGCTCCTCATGAATATCCTGTTGCTGTTCTGTGCCCTTGAGAGCCTGCTGTTTGGATCTGTACATTCACCACCTTCACATGCGATGTGGTTGTCGGGATGGGCTGTCCTGCCTTTTCCTTTCGCCTGCCTGCACTCCGGTGGCTCACTCCCCCTCGGAAGGTCTGCAGCGCGTCTCTAAAGATGAAGCGGTTCCACAGTTGCTTTTCACAGTTTGTTTGACGATGGGCAGACATTCAGCTCCTCGTAGGAATGGAAATCTTTAATTACCACAACTTGTATTGTCAGTTCAATGAATACATTAAAAGGTCAACTAGTTAAAAAAAAAATGTCCTACAGACTTGCCCACAGCCCAATATTTTGAAGGCATTTTTCTCAGGTGAGGTTTCCCCCTCTCAGACAAGTTTAGCTTGTTTCAGTTTGATACTAAAAACTTAAAAGGATAGGGTATAAATATAGTTTATAGATCATAACCTTGAAAGAATTTGTTTTATGAGATCCGACATTATATATTATGAGTATATACCAACAAAGATAGTTTTTTTTTAGTAAGTAAAGTATAAATAAGGATCAGGATCTGTTGGTGAGAGACATCTGAGGCTCTGTTGCTACCCATCTGTGTTTTATCCGTATGACAAATACAGAGAGTCTTTTGCACTCAGGCAGGCAAATGTGTATCAGTTAAATTATTTAGACGTTCAGTTATTGCCAAAGAATTTAAAGTATACATTCCTGCCTAATTCAAGTGAATTTTATATTGCCATGAGTCCTGATAATCAGTGTAACTTTTTAAACAAAATAATTCAGAATCAAATAAATTTATACATAAGGAGTGTCAGAAATTCAGTACAGAAAAAATCATTGCTGTAATTTAAAGATTATATATTTGAAAAATATGACTGGCTAAATATGATATGAATATTCTTGAATTGTTTCCAAACTACTTGCTCTATTAAAGGACACAACCATAAAAAAGGAGGTATGTTATATCAAATCGGCATTAACCCCATGAAATCAAACTAAGCAAAACTACGGGAAACAAACCATGACATCTTGTACAATGTAGTCACTCCCATTAAATAAAAGGACACATTAGACCCTGAATGCTCTCCTGGGCTTTCAGATCTATTCATGAAAAGGTCAGGGCACGCTGATTCTTGGTCAGAAAGGATGGCGTTTGAATACCAGGCTGTGTGTAGGGAGAGAAAAGCTACTCCTTCAGACACTGGCTGACAGGCTGACATCTCAAGGGGATTTGAGGAGGAGTCTACAACCATGTTCACAGCAATAACCTGTCACACCTTCAGTATAAATGCTGCTGGTGGTGAGAATGAGATCTCACTGTGTTGTCAAGGTTTCTGTGTATCTTTATCCTGCCCAGTTCCAACAGTCATTAAGTCCCAACGAAATTACACAGACATGTACATTCACAATAAACTGATTGGCCTGTTAGCTCAGGCTTCTTATTAACTCTTACAACATATATTAACCCATTACTCTTGTCTATGTTAGCCGTGTGGCTTGGTACCGTATTCAGCCAGGCAGTTACATCTTGCTTCTTCTGTGTCTGGACAGGACTGCAGAGGAATGGGCTTCCTCCTTCCCAGAATTATCCTGTTCTCATTGATCTGCCTCTACTTCCTGTCTGGTTGTCCTGCCTATACTTCCTGCATTGCTACTGGCCAATCAGCATTTATTTAAAATATAATTGACATAATACAAACCATTTTCCCACACCACCACTGCCACTGAAACAGTCAAATACCCTCATAGCAGCATTTTTTTTGTCATAGCCAGAAACTGAAAACAACCTATATGCCTCTTGACTGAAGAATGGATAAGGAAAATATAGTGCATTTACAGAATGGAGTACTATACAGCAGAGAAAAATAAAGATATCTTAAAATTTGCAGGCAAATGAATGGAGCTAAAAACGTTATCTTGAGTGAGGTAACCCAGACCCAGAAAAACAAATATAATATGTATTCACTCATAAGCAGTTTTTAAACATAAAACAAAGAAAAACAGCCCACAAATCACAATCCCGAAGAACCTAGACAACAAAGGGGACCCTAAGAGAGACATACATGGATCTAATCTACACGAGAAGTTGTAAAAGACAAGATCTCTTGAGTATGCGGATCATGGGAGAGGTTTGATGTTGCGGGAGCTCCTTCCGCTCCTTTAGCCAATAGCCACTGAGATACCAGCCCATTGGGGTGTGGTCTCTCTCCTTTTAAAAAAAGCGGCCACTTCCCTCTCCTCTCTCTCTCTCTGGCTTCCGGCAACGAGGCTCCTTTCCTGACTGTGCAGAGGGCTGTTGTCTGGGACTGTGATCTGTAAGTTTTCCCCTTTAAATAAATAACCATTCTTTTAATCATAATTACAAACTGGTGTGGGATTGTTTGTGACTTATGCCTTCAGTTTGAAGGGAAGGGGAAAGAAAGGGAGGGCAACAGAGAAAAACGTATAGCTCAATAAAATAAAAAAAATTCCCTGGTAGATTCCCAGAAGAACAGAATAATGGTCTGCCTCTTCTTTTGTTGGTATCAGGCTTAATAGTTTGCTGTTATTGTTCTATGTAGAGAGCAGTAACCTTGCAACTGAGGGTGACTCTTTGTGCTGCAGTCATGGCTAAGGAGTCTCCATAGTTCAACCAGTTTCCTCCCACACTTTTCTGCTCCTCTGTAGTCTCCTCCTCTAGAATCCTCTAGATCTTTCGAGGCATTACAGGCAGAAATAGTGTTACTCTAAGCTCTGTTAATGTATGTTTTAATTTATGGACACAATCAAAACTACTTCCATAGTTTCACAATGTGTGGGGTGTGGACGAGGTTTTAACTTATGTCACTTTCAAACTTATTGAGTTTTATTGATAGGATGGTTGGTGGTAGTGAGACCTAAGTGTTAAGTGCTATTTTGATTGACATTCCTATATACTCTGACTAAGATATTCTCTAACACCATCAATATTCTTACCATACCACATGTTGTGATTTCAAGAATCATGCCTCTGCCCAGCTTGTTAATGAATGCCTGTAATCTAAGCTTTTCAATTGCTGAGGAGAGAGGAATTCAAATTTTCCTCCAGCCTACGTTAGTGTATGCTACACATTAAAGCAAATAGGCACAGTCTATATGTGTGTATGTGTGTGTGTGTGTGTGTGTGTGTGTAAAGATTTTTGTCACTGTTCTCATAGAGTCCCATTAAGTGTGTACATATATTATCATTTATATGAAACTAACAACTTAACATCTGTTCCATTGACAAATTTCCTTCTTCAATGAACCTGAAACTACTTTAAAATATAAAAAATCACTTAGAAATGTAATTCAGATCAAATTTTAAAAAGATCAAAATAAAACAGAACCAAAAAATCACAATATGATTAATAAAACAATAACAACAACAAAAGATGAATAGTAGCTGAACTCTCGGTGATGTAACAGAAAAACAAGGACAGGAAATTCATTTTTAGGAAGAGCTACTTCAGAACATTTTTAAGAGAAGAGATTTGGCATTACAAATCTCAGATGGGAGTCCTTTACAAATTCCTATGCCCTTTTATTAAGGGAGAAGGTCTGGAATGTATGGGTACTTGGAAAGCTTTTGTCAAAGAAGACAAAAAATATGCTTAGAAGCCAACGTGGGACTGAGACTGCTAGATTTCGGAAGTCTGCAGTAAGTTTGAGGTTTATGCTAAGTGCAATAAAAGTTTGTGGTTTTCTATATTAGTCTTAGTTTAGTTCAGGAAGTTTCCTTAAGGAGTGAACTAAACTATTCTGAGGGTATAGGACAATTGTTTAGAATGTAATTGGGGATTATGCTGGAGAATTATAAATTCTCTTAATATTGATAGAATTATAGATTATCCTAAAGAAGTCTATGATTAGGGAAATTATAACTGTGGTTAGTTTGCAAGGTTTTTAAAACAGATGATGATGAGGAAACTTTATTAGAATCCTGAGAGATTTCTTCAGTGGAGACAGAAAGAGAATGTCTTACAACTATTGAAATACACTAACTTATGAAGAAGAAAATTCAGATAGGTTCTTTAATAGTGTCTCTCCACAGTGAGAGCTGTCTAGGAACCCCTGAAGCAATATATTCCCAACTGGGTGACTTTATTTGTAGGGTCTACAAAAATAAAAAGGTATGATGAGCCAGATACAGGGCATGAAGAAAGCCTCTTTTTTGGGTGGTATTAAATGGAGGAATGCATTTATTTTACGAAAGAAAGAGACAGTAGTTCTAGGTAAAAGAAAGAGAGCCACATACTCAAAAGATTCTCAACATTTGGGTGATCTACTTCATAACTTATGAAAGAAATTTCATAGGTCCTTCTCCATATATTACATGCAGAGCTCTTGGGATTTAAATGAGTCCATCTTCATTTTATAGATAAGGAAACTAATATTTTACTTTTCATGCTGCCTTTGTGTTTTATCATCCATTAATGAAGATGGTGCTGGTGGTGATGGTAACAGTCATGGTAAGAACAGTAACATTTCATATCTTGTTTGGTACATCAGTGTGGTTCACTAATCTTTAGTTACTCTTTCAGACTGAGGTGACAATGATCTTTTAAATCTGCATGCTGGTTTTCCTCTGTGATACTCAACTCCAGCTATAAATTCCTTATAGGACGTTCTTTAGCATAGTTTATCCCTTCTTCTCCTTCTTGCTACAGTATATCACATGGTTATCCTTATATGAAAAGGAAACAATAGGGGGAGATGGTAAAGTGCCTTCCATTCAAACCAAAGTTAAGATCCACAGAACCACACAAATTCTCCATCAAACACAGATGCAGTAGTTTGTAATCCTGAAGTACAGTACAACGACAGGCAAAGACTTTCAGAGAAGGCATCTATTAAACCTAAGGTTGTGAACTCTTTGGTCTCCTCAAGGAGTTGTGTTAACAAGGGTTAGAGACTGGGATAACAAGGAAGACAGAAATCTTGT